TTCGCTCAACCGTTGCTCAACTGATTGTGGCGTGTTAGGATCCTAATGAGCTTTGTTTTTCTTCACCGTGCATTGTGAGAACTTTATAGTCAATCACAAATAAAACATGTTTTAGCGCCCAATTTGTTGTTGCCATGTTATAAAAGAATTGGTTCATGCTTTTAGCTGTGCGTATATCGAGTTATGGATGCACTTGAGAAGTTTGGAGAGCTCTCAAGAAGCTAGAGTCGCACTCGGCTCTCGCCTCGTGCGACTCTTACGCTTTTTTCGTGCTGTCCAAACTTCCCGCGTGCATCCATAGCTCGATATACGCACGCTAAGCATGAACCCATTCTTAAATATTAACAAATTAAAACAGACTTCAAATTCCCAAACAAGTATCACGTAATGGAAAAATCAATGGAAAAAAAAAAAAAAAAAAAAGAATTCGTTAGCATTAATTCATTTACCTAATACTTGGAGTGCTGTTCGGTATTTATCGCTATTCTCTAAGGGTGTCGTGGATTATTCTTACCCTTTACTGATAGCTNTGACAATTTTGGAAACCAGGTTAAGCGTTTTCGCTCAACCGTTGCTCAACTGATTGTGGCGTGTTAGGATCCTAATGAGCTTTGTTTTTCTTCACCGTGTATTGTGAAAACTTTATAGTCAATCACAAATAAAACATGTTTTAGCGCCCAAGTTGTTGTCGCCATGTTATAAAAGAATTGGTTCATGCTTTTAGCTGTGCGTATATCGAGTTATGGATGTACTTGTGAAGTTTGGAGAGCTCTCAAGAAGCTATAGTTGCTCTTGGCTTTTGCCTTGTTCTACTCTTACGCTTTTTTCGTGCTCTCCAAACTTCCCGCGTGCATCCATAACTCGATATACGCACGCTAAGCATGAACCCATTCTTAAATATTAACAAATTAAAAAAAGACTTCAAATTCCCAAACAAGTATCACGTAATGGAAAATTCAATGGAAAAAAAAAAAAAAAAGACTGAGAACAGCAGCATAGATTTATGCTGAGAGGGTAATCAAAAAACACCGCGACGTAAGCAAAGACCTTTTTTTTCGTGCTCTCCCGATCTGTCGAACGCTATTTCGCGCTTGGCCGTGGATGAACATAGTTACCCATTTCATTTTCGACTCCTCCAAATTCCATGTTTTGACAAGAGCAAAAGAAAAATACAATTTCGTGTTTGAAAATAAATGTCAGCACTCAGTAAAATGTCCAAAAGTATTAACGACTCGACTGTTTTCACAATTTTTTTTACAGATTCAAAGAAAAATGATGTAAACTCTTTGGACTTTTTTACACACGGCTCTGCGATGACCGCGTTGGTTTGTGTGATGGCTTCGTATGTGAGGGCAGCGTTACTGAAGAGCAGATGTCGAATGACCAGTGTCGTGTCGAAAAAGACAAAACTGCCCCTAGCCTTGCAACGGTTTACTTAATTAAGGGGATATCATTACCTAAATCGTTGGCTTTTACGCTTAGCAATCGTTTGGAAAAACCCTTTAGTTTGATAAATGCTTTTAAGGTGGAAAGGTCTCGAGACAGGCAGGAGACAGGCTGAAGCATGCAACAAGTAGTGCCTACGTATTTACCCTCCAACACTTTCAGGGATGTGCGCTATTAATACCCAACCTTCATAGGGCGCCTTCACAGTTTCAGATGCAGAATAGAGCTTTGAAATTTAAGTTTGAATACCAACTTACCCAATATATCGCTCTGTATATTAGAATGATAACCGCAGTGACACAACTGCAATTCGACAACACAACTGTAATTCGACTGAGTAATATGCTACATGTACGACTGATTGACAGGCAAAATACAGATCACAACGTATTAACAGCGAGCAGTACCGGCTGACAACACTGTCTCACAGTGAGGAATATCGGCAACTAAGAACACGGGTTTTAATTCATTTTGGCCCGAAATTTGGCTATATTATGTGTCATCTAGTCTGTGATTGTGTATGGTTTTCGGAAGAAACATTTTTTGCCTCGCCTAACTAATGAAATTTTCATTCCTGTCATAATTGCCCAAGCCCTTTTTAAGAGGCTGACAATCACGTGAAACACGATAATATATGACCCCTTTCGGGCGGGAACAGGGCGATAGTTTTCAGAATTAAGGCGCCGCCCAGCTCGGGGCCACTTTCTCCCTCCCCTGGGCGCAGTCTTCTACCTTACTGAGGGGGGTGAATAGGGATATGCAAATCTGCCGATCCGTGCCTTTTTTTCGCCAAATCCGTCGATCCGCCAATATTTTTT